GTAAACAGAATTTCCACAGTCACTTTAACTTCAACACACGCTATAATTCACAACGATTCACGCACGATTACTTACGGTCACTACCGCAAGTTTGACTCATCAAAAATCAAAATTATCTTTTGAGTCAAAGCTTTTATTACAAAATTTAAAATTTACCGTATACAAGGAAACCGTATTACTACACTACCAAACAAGTGCAGTGGAAAATTACAGGCTCATCTTTACAAGATGAAACCTTTATGAAAGGTTCTTTACAAGAATTAAATTATGTACATAGACAAAAATAAATCCTTTGACAATGACTGAGGTAAAACGCTCTTTAACACTGAAAACCAACGTGTTCCTATATACTTACAATCACATACTCTACATAAGAAAAAGAAAGAAATATACATTGTCTATTTAAAGAGTGGATAGATTAATATGTCAATGCTAATATTTTAAAAAAAAATGAGTGAAACCAATGATTTAGATAAGGGTACAGTTTAACAGTACTCTGTCGTTCCATAAGAAACTACATCCGTTGTTTGTGTTTCAGCACAGCTGTGAATGTGGATAATTTTTAATATCATTGCACATATATTTTTCATAATTCAACAGATGGTGTAATGCTGTAGTTGTTTTCCTTCTCCCAGTATGCTCGTGTTCTCTTACGTGATTGGTCAGAAAAGCGAAACGTCAGTGACGAGTAGAGAATGTACTTGAATACAATGTGCTTATACACTTGCCTTCAACTTCAAGATGTGGAGTGACTGCTGTCTTCTTTTTTTATACGGTGAACGCTTTTCTGTGTCACTCTTATATAAGATATATATATATCATATAGATGGGCAACGAAACACCAAGAAGCGAATATAGAAATATCTTTAAACCGCATATTTCACGATAATTTTGTATATTTTGTATAAAGCTAAGCAATGAACTAACTGTGCGCAGAGAATCGACCTCCGGATTTTAGCGTTGCAAGCATGTAAACTTACGTCTGACTCACCAGGAGACAAAACACTGAATTAAGTTTTTGTTTTATTGAAACCTGTGTTATTGAATTGAAGGAATATCTGAGTCGAAAAACATATACATGTATTAGTTATGCTTATGTAGCTTCATAAACCTTTATAAAGTATATCCCCAAATATTTTATTAAAATAATCAGCTAAAATAATGAGCTATATTAATTTGTGATATAAACATTATGTTGATATTATACAACTAGCTTTAATAATAAAAACTTCTGGTACAGAGTGGCAGAATTGAAATGACTATCAACGTATACTTGGTTATTAGAATTTGAAAACTCGTGCAGCAAAATACTAATATAAAATATACGTATATTTAGAGTTTGTGTAGCACAAAGCTACATAATGGGCTTTTTGTGCTAGCGGTTTCTAGCGTTACAAGTCCACAGACTTACCGCTGTGTCACTAGGGGGCTATATATTTAGAGAGTAATTGAAGATAGACGCTCGAATTTCACACTACTTGTGAAATTAATGAATTACAGTGAAGCAATAAAAAGATCAAATTCATTTTCAAAACAAATACAGAGCTGCCATAATTGAAATAATAATCAGGGCTACTTTATCTTTATTTTCTTTCTAGTGTTCATCTGCCTAAGAGTAAATTAGACAAGTTTTCAGTAAATTAAACTTTTGAATAACACTCCCAATGTTATTGAACTTTGCACTTCGCCACACAATAAATTATACTGCAAATGAACTTAAATAAGATTGCACGATAATTTATTATCAGGGGTATACTCTTGACACGTTTATGAATGCTTCGTCGCCAAGGTGTAAATAATAATAAAAATAATCACTAATAAAGATTTCCACTAACCCGTAGTATTATACCATATATGTACATTATTGCTGGGCAAAATGGACAGGTTTCATTATTTTTTCTGTAATAAGAATAGTATTATGTGGATATAAAATAATAGCGATAATACGTTTTCGATAAATAGTACATGAGAATGGCTGTAAAATATTTAGTCAAGTAATCAAATTACGAGAGAAATGGGTGAGATGATAACGTGAGCATTTAACAAATATTTGTGATCTGTATGTCAATAAACACTAGCTGTGTAAATCAATACATCATATAAAATACTTAGTATTACTTCTCCTAAAACGATAAGATAAAGTTAGCACCTGTTATTAGCATCTCCTGTAATGTTTACACAGTAGTATTGAATGTAACATTCAAGGCAAAAATGAGATCTACCTATAACAAAACATGAAAATAATAACTTGAACTTTTAAGAATAACTATTATCTATCGTAATTCTCTATTAATTAATAGCTATTAAATTATATCCCAAGTTATTCCTCCCACAATTTTTAGCTAATAACTCTGTGTTTTATAAACACATATTTCAATCATCTGTGATATTTACATTATATATAGATTTATATATATTTATATTCTTATGTATAAAAAAGCACTCTAAACATTTTTTTTCAATTACCACCATATTTTTTAAGAAATAATATTTCAAAGTACAAAACAATAATTTGCTTATATTCAATTTTACCCGCATATTTAGAACAGAAAATCAACTACATCAAGGCATATTCTCACTTGACTCAACGACATAATACATAACTTTAATAATGGGCCCAGCCTGGTTATTCAATATTAAAAAAGTTAAGTAATACAAGCAGTCACTCATACTTAATAAGCACAACACACATACGGTCACAAAAGATATGTGAGTGGATGACATTTACCTTTAGTGTCACTTTCAAAGCCACAAAAGTCAATAATGGACAAATATAGTTAAATCGCCTATCTCATGAGCCAAGAAACATGTCAAATTATAGATCGTAAGGTAAAAGCACATGCCATGTTTAGTGGAGGTACTTATCGTCCCACATACATATTAATATATTAGATAACGAAACCAGAACGCACATATATTGCTGAGGAGGTAGGTAAAATTAAATCAAATATTAATATAATTAATTTCACACAACTTTTACAAATATTATCTATTGAATTAATAACTGTACTGTGCATATTTAGAATAGATTTATCGCATGTACATATTTTAAACATTCAAATCATCAAGTCACATGAACACCACATATAATTTGCGCTGGAATGGAATGCATCACAACTACAT